TGTAATATGATTTTATTGAAAAATGGGTAATTGATAAGAAGAGAAAAAAAATTATAATTTTAATGGGGGCCAAGCAGATGCTAGAGGTGTAATTGCTCCTTTTAAAGATTGAGGACTAAAGTACTACTATATATGTCTAAAGTGGTGGATCTCCACAGCTATTTTTTCTATTTCAAAAGATTTTATCTAGTCAATTTCTAATCCACCTTTCTCTTTGACAATCACTTGGACCCCGGCGGGCCGATTAATTTGTTTCTATACGGGAGAGCGGACCCAAGTTACCAAGTAATTCGGTGTCAATTTAATGCACATTTAATACAACGCGTTTCGAGTTGTTGAAAAATTTAGCCCATATTTGATAGGGATTAAAATCAAAATTTTAATAGATTTTGATAAACGTTGATTAGATGTATGGTTGAAAAGTTGTGGGTCATATTAAATATGTGGTTGAAATTAATTGTTAACTTTGACTTAGATCAAAATTTGGATTTTAATTTTTACCAAACATTTCATACAATTGCATTTATGTTGTTGAGTATTAGGGATGTTAAGTGAAACGAGTTGTTATGTTTACTGATGAGCCGACACATATGTTCAGTCACATTGAAGCAAGTCGAGCTTGGGTTGGGTCGCTTGAAGAAAATACAGCTCGATTGTGCCTCACACATTTTTTTATTGTTTTTGCTTCTCGGCTCCCCATAAGTCGATGAGAGCCAACTAGTGGCTCACACGATAAAACCCAGCTCAACTCTCCCATGACTACCTTTGGTCAAGTTGAGTCCGCGAATGGCTCGTTCAACATCCCTATTGATTACTCTTTGCATAGAATTGAAAGCTTACCCTATGGTAAAAAGGATTGTTCAATGACTGCACATTTATTAATTCAATTGGGTAACTAAGTTTATTCAATGAAGTTGTACTCATTTCACATTAACAACTATCGAGTAAGTGTAACACTCTTCATTTATAGATCATTACGTCATCGATGATCGTTAGTCGAATTAGACAAAGTAACCTTACTTGAAATCAAATTAAAGTGTGATTACCCGATTGAAATTATATCAAACTCTAATCATTCGATTGAACAAAATTGAAGTACGATTATCTATTGTTAAGGTCAAATATTTTTTATAGGTTAATGCAAGACAGCCTCGTGATGACCTTTGTCGGACATTCAAAGTTGATTTTTCTGTTTTACAACAATTTTAACAAATGGAATGCATTATAGACCTACAGTTGTACATCAGGATGAAGTTTGAAAACCGCACAATGTTCTTGAAATGTCACGAGGAGAATTCTCTGCATTTGTGTGGTAAATAATAACAAAATCTCGTGTATTTGCTGGATAAGTAGGTCATAAATGGAAGATTGATATATGTTTGAAAATTAATTGTAATTTTTTTTTACGAGATTGGATTAGTATTTAATGTACCGTTCATTGGATACAAGATTGAAAAATAAAAATAAAATCATGGACATAAAATATCAATGTGAATATTACATTTGAGAACCTAAACATCCAGCTTTTTGGCTCGTGTTTGATATGTTGTACTCTCTATAGTAATAGCTATCTATCTCCATTTTGGTCACATTCCCTAAGAATTATACCTTGGGATGAAGTTTGAAAACAGTACAATGTTCTCAAAATGTCACGAGGAGAATTGGTAAATAATAAAAAAATCTCGTGTATTTACTTTATAAGTAGGTCATAAATAGAAGATTGATATATGTTTGAAAATTAATTGTAATTTTTTTACGAGATTGGATCAGTGTTTAATGTACCGTTCATTGGATACAAGATTGAAAAATAAAAATGATGGATGGAAATTTAACTCAAAGTCTATTAATAATAATTAACATTTCATGATACTCACAAATTTTGAACCACGTATTACATTAACTTTTATCAAAATCGATATATATATATATACTAGGTGCAAGCAACGTGCAATGCATGTTTGCTTAATTTATATTTAATATTTTTGTTTAATAATTAATTTGTTATTAATAAAGATGTAATTTTTTTTGGTTAATTAAGGGCGTGTCTGGGCGCGCTGCAAGGAGGAAGGAAAATTGATTATGTTACCGTTTTTTTTTTCAAACC